CAAGCCGCTACAACCACTGAACAAGCTGTTACTACCACTGAACATGCAGCTACGACTACTGAACAAGCAGTTACCACTGAACACGCAGCTACGACCACTGAACAAGCTGCTACCACCACTGAACGAGCTGCTACCACCACCACTGAACAAGCAGTTACCACCACTGAACAAGCCGTTACTACCACTGAACACGCAGCTACTACCACCGAACAGGTGACTACGACCACTGAACAAGTAACTACAACCACTGAGAAAGCTGCTACCACCACTGAACAAGCAGCTACTACCACTGATTACACTGCTACCACTACTGAACATGCAGTTACTACCACTGAAAACGCATCTACTACCACCGAACAAGTAACTACGACCGCTGAACAAGCAACTACCACCACTGAGAAAGCAGCTACTACCACTGAACAAGCAGCTACTACCACTGAATACATTGCTTCCACTACAGAACATGCAATAACTACCACTGAAAACGCAGCTACTACAACCGAACAGGTGGCTACGACTACTGAACAAGTAACTACAACCACTGGACAAGTAGCTACGACCATTGAGCAAACAGCTACTACCACTGAACAGGTGGCTACGACCACTGAACAAGTAGTTACGACCACTAAGCAAGCAGCTACCACCACTGAACAGGTGACTACGACCACTGAACAAGTAACTACAACTACTGAACAAACAATTACAACTACTGAACAAGCAACTACCACCACTGAAAAAGTAGCGACCACAGCTGAACAAGTAGTAACAACAACTGAGCAATTAATTGCCACTACAACTGAGCCAGTAATTGTCACCACCACAGAACAAGCAATTGCTACTACCACGGAACAAGTAATTGCCACCACTACAGAAAAAGTAATTGCCACCACAACTGAACAAGTAACAACCACAGCTGAACAAGTAGTAACCACAACTGAGCAAGTAATTGCCACCACCACTGCAAAAACAATCGCCTCCGCCACTGAACAAGCAATTACCTCCACCACTGAACTTGCGATCACGTCCACCACCTCACAAGTGATTCCCTCCACCACCTCACAAGTGATTCCCTCCACCACCTCACAAGTGATTCCCTCCAC